GGGAAGGAGGGCCCTCATTGTCCCGGATGTGTCGAAGATCGGGTATGGGACAGGATGTATGTATATAAGAAGGAGCAGTGATCAATCTGCGTACCCCCTCCCTTCGAATGACGGCCGCTTCGTTCTCTCCCACCCGTCCTCCCACCACATGAGTGTAAGTAGCAGCCGAGTGCATGTGCCAGCCGGGTGCGCGAAGCTCGCGAGGCGCTTCGCGTGCCAGGGCACACCCATCATCCTTGCCACATGGCAGTTCGCATTGATCGCGGGGCGCCCTCGCATTGCCAATCGTCAGCCGCACCGCGCGCTGTGCACATGTGGTCTAGACTCTGGCGCCAATCAGATGGGGGAGGGGGGGGCCGCCTCACCAGATAGGGGAACACGGGTTTTGGGAAGAGCGAAGAAGCACGTCCTTTTCCTCACCCTCTTCCTCCTCCCTTAGTTGGCGTTGGAGCTCAGGCAAGTTGAGCCCCGACGGAAGGAAGATGTTCACTCACCTTTCCACACGACTCACGGATTCTGACAGCCACACAGGCTACAAAACGTCACAATCCCTGCAGCCCTTCCGATGCCGCACCTCTTTGCGATCCTTTTCTAGTGTGACTAACTAGGTCGTGATGCGGTAATGGTTTGTTTTGTGCCGCTTTCTCAAGTTGTCGATGGAATATGTGAGTGTGATTTTTTTTATATATATATATATAAAAAATGACGCAGACAGTGGATCCGTCGCACCCATGCCCGGACGTGCCAGCTGGCCAGGGTTACAATATGTGAGCAGCTGGTCGCACACGCCCCGGGACCCTTTGCTTGTTGGACAATTTCGGCAGAAAGAGAGCGGCGCAGAAGCCGCCGCCACAGGGCGCGCAGATGGGTGCCGACATCGAGGTGGACAACAGCGACGGCGAGAGTGGCGGGCAAACGGCAGCGGGGGAGTTTGCAGAGTTTGCTGGGCTCCCCGTTCCACCGTGCGTCCCGCGGGGTCCAGGGGGCAGAGCTGCCAAGGGAGTTTGCAAAACCGCCTCGGCTCCCCTTTGCACCTGCGCCCGCTCGGGCCCCACTACTACGAGCGAATCCGATCGTTGGACACAGCTGTTCCACGAGATGAGCAGGTGCGCAAATGGAGTTCGATTCGCCCAGCTTCGCACTCGTTGGTGCGCCAGCGAGCAATGTTGGACGACAAAAGTCAGAGGGAAACTAGACGCCCCGAGGTTCGGAAGCAGCCGGCGGGTGCAGGCGAATACTCTCGAAAAGCCACGCCCGAAGCAAAGTACGTGGAACTGCTGCCCCAGAAGATCGAAGAACACTTGAATCAATGGAGCCCGATCGGCCCTGCCTTGCGCTCGCTTGTTCGCTGGAGAATGAAGTTGGGTGAACCTCGAAAACCCATGGACTTCCGCGGTGAGGCGGACGAGAACGAGGTCTGGAAAGATGGAGGCCGACCCACTTGTTTGGAACTGCTGCCCCAGGAGATCGGCTCGTTCGTTCGCGGGAAAGCGAAGGAGGTCTGACAAAGATGGAGGCCCCGAGGTTCAGAGGCAACCGACTGGCGCCGATGACGAACTTCGAAGACCCATGCTCTTCAATGGCGACCATGAGGTCGCAGCGCTTCTAGGATTCCTTTGTTCTACAGCGACCCACGAAGGAATCGCTCAAGGCGTCGTGCAAACACGGCGCGCGGAAAAGGGGGGATGTCCATTGGAGAATTTGTTGACATGCTATTTTTTCCTTCGCGAAGAGATTGTGCAGGTGCGGGGGAGGTGGGGAAGGAGTAGGAAAGTAAGGCGTAAGGACCCGTGGAATTTATCAGCGGGGGGGCCCTCTGACTTCGCAGCGGTTAAAGACACGGCCGTCGAAGGGTTCGTCGTCGAAGAGCGGACGCGGAAACGCGACGGACAAACTTCGGGCGGCATCTACGACGTTATGTGGACCCATATGGGCCAATCTGTTCCTGCGGGTGAATTCTGGCACCCATTGGCCAACAGCGGCGCAGTCCGTACTTCGCCACGCGTGGAATACGCTCCTTCGGAATGGGAGCGCATGGGAGTTTTGCCAGGGCGGGAGACAGGTGCGCAACTGCCGCCGCGCAAGGATTAAAGCGCAGGCCATTTTGCAAACCTAATCTTGGGGGAAATCCACACGCGCAGCCACTTATGTCTTTGGGCGGAGATGTCGTGCGAATCCTCAGGGCGCGCCGCATTTTTACCCACATTTTCTATGTTATTGAGCGCGACGTTACAGAAGACGACAAGACGAAGTGACAGGCGAGCCGGCGCGAGGTGAGGTAAACAAGAGCAGGGTCCGTGCATGTTTGAGCACGTCTGGCGCGGGGGAAAGCATCTGTCTTGGCGCGGGGAGCGCCGATCGCACTAACGAGGGCATTTCGGAGTGCAAGGTGTCGCCCTCTCTTTTCTTCGGCCTTCTTCCTTGTAAGATACAGAGTGGGATGTGGCTTGCGTGTTACAGAGGGGCTCAGGGAACCTTCCATCTTGCGCAGACCCGCACGCACGCGCCATTGGCAACGCAGCGCCAGCGGTGCCGCACCCTCTGATTTCATCGGGGAGCTACTGACTGGTAGTACAGTGGCCCCTGCGCCGCATGCTCGCCCGAGGTGGATGAGGAGGGGAGGTGACGGTTTGGGATGGAGAGGGCAGCGTGCGCGCCTCTGCGCAGGCCATGGCAGTTCCCTTGATAAGCTGTCGAGGGTTTGTCGAGTCCTCGCTGCATAACGCTCACGCAGGGGAATTACGCAGACGCTCTACCCTGCACGTTCGCGGGCGCGAAGAGGGAACAAGCTCCGTGCAGACGGCTGGCGGGCCAACTAGAGGAGTTGCCAGGGCCAGGGGGGGGGGGGAAGTCCCTGCGAATCGCCCCTGGGCGGTTTATCTCAGGAGGGAAAGAAACACACAGACACAATTAATCGTCGACCCCCCAGAACATATTGGAAAATATGGGAAGTGGGGGGGAAGACAGAAACCCAGAAAATATTGGAAAATATGGGGGATCATTTTATTTGTGTGCTTATTTTGTGTGTCCTGGGGCCCCTTCATTATCGCACACAACGGGGAGGAACTAGCATGGCAGTTGCATTATTTCACCGACAGTGCCCCCTTCGCAGAAATCGCCAATGGTGTGACCATAGTCGTGAATTCACGTTCGCGTCGGTTGTTCGGTACGATGTGAGTTAAGCTGGTCGCTTTTAAAAAGTGGGTTGGATACCCGAACGGACGTAGCCTTCAAGTGGTTCGCCGACCTGTTCGGCAATCGCATTGCGGATGTCGGGCGATCATGGTTTCGCAACGTCGTACACCCAGTGGGCGGTCCTTCTGAGCAACAAGCGGCTCACCTCAGATACGCAGGCGGAAGACATTGGCGAACATGCACTCAGATGCCGCATGGGGGATCAAGGCCCATGTTCAGACATCGCGTGGGAGATATCCGCATCCGATGGGCATGATCGGCCTGCAATTTAGGTTATGTTCTTTGTCGTTCGCATGCCAAGCACCAGGGGCAACGATAAGGGGAGATAGGCATGGGGGGGACGCATCGACTTTCAATCGCCCATCGATCGCCTTTACGGGCCCACGCCTGCGCAGGAAAGTGCGGAATCACTCTGAACGCCCACCGCCGATTCATAGGCGATGTATCGCCGATTACAGTTCGATGTTTCCCCCTTTTATGCCTATCCCCCCACTGTCGTTGCCCCGCAAAGCAATGGCGTTCAAGGGGCCAGTGGGTATTGGGGCATCGCTGGCGGGCTCGTGTAATTTGTCGGTACGGCCTCTATACGGATTCTCTGCAAGGGGAGCGGAAGGATATCGGAGGAGGATCGAGCCGAGGAGCGGGGGAGGGAGGAAGAGCACGTATTGCCGCGAGGTGCGGTCAATTACCAATTCGTTCCGGTGTTTTTCCCGTCGTCGCCAGTGGAGCCCATGGCGCCTTCATAACCAGGGCTGGCCGGAGACGTCGGCCCTGATGCTTTCGGAAGAGGTCGAGACCTGCGTGGACAGGGCGTCGGCTTGGCCCAGCGTGTGGTGGGCAAGAGAGGCGCAGCTTTTCCTCATGGGGACGTCTTGCCCATCGGCCACAAGGACCGATGGGCCATGCCCTCTGCAGTCGGCGTCATTTCTACCGACCTTTCCGAGGGGCATCAGCTTCAACTGATGAGAGGGGAAGGGGGGGAGGGGATACGGTGCACCTTGGCCCACGGTGCCCGGCAGGCAAACGCCCACTGCCAGAACCCTCAACGTGCCCAATTCGGATTCCAGCTAGGACCTGGCTGCTCCTGCATTGTGCTCCTCCTAAGCTTGCTTGCGGCTCCTCGCCCTCCTCTTCCTCCTTGCCCTGCTCCCTTCACCTGCACCGACTTCCTAGGATGGGAGAGCCTTTCTGACACCACAATTAAAGCTCACAGATGTCATGGCACCTTGTTCCTCTTTTTGTGCACGCTCAAATCCCTAACGCCTAACCCCCCTCTTCTCGGCCCCCCGTTTCGGCGCATCGGATCCCCCTTACCCTCTTCGCTCACAGGGAAAGAGAGAATGCACAAGCAGAACCGTTCGGAGGTCTGCCCAGATTTGCTGGATCGGCGCTGTATTCCCCCCTCCCTGGCGCACGGAGCTTCGCCAAGGGGAGCCCGTGCGAACCTACGAGAGGTTCTGCTCACGTCGTCGCGTCTTTCTTCTATCGTCGCTCCTCCGCCTCCCCTTCCGCGATCCCTCCATCCTTGCAGGCTGTTAGCGGGCCTCAATTGGTCAGAAGGTCATAAGAGCGCCAGAAGACACGGGGGTCGACTGCGCCTGAATGAGTGTGTGAGCTTCTCGCGTAAGGTGGCGAGTGAGCGCCCTCGTTTCCAATCTGGCGTGCCACGCTGGCGGCCCGCGTGAGCCACCGCGGGAGTTCGCGACGCCATCTCGCGTAAGACCCGCTTCCTTCCCTCGCTCGTGAGGTCTCTCCCTCCCGCGGCGCTCCCTCGCCCGCCTGGCCCGTGCCGCCCGCCCCGCCAGGTGGAGAGCGCGGGGGCGTGCTCGCTGCTGGGGGCGCTGCCGGCCGGGCGCTCAGCCAGTTGTGCCCACGGCCAAGCAGTGGCGAAGTGCCCTGGCCTGCCCATAGGCCCACCAAGTGCTGCTCTGAGAACCTTTCGTGGCCTGCGCGAAATGTTCTAAGAGCAGTCCTGCCTGAGACCGCGTTGTTTTGATACATCGGCTCCACGCTATACGCAGTTCGTCTTGTGGCTGTCACATTCTCGCGTTCCCCAAACAGTGCTTGCTCTTACGTTGTTTGTCCATCTGCCTGCGGCAGGTTCTGCCACCGTGCTATCCCAATGTTTTTGGTGTTGACTGTTCGAGGGGGCACTGGAGGCCGTCACGTGTGACACCTCGGCTCTCCGCGCTCTGGAGAGCCCTTGGCCTCGTCGCCATCGCTGAGTTCGCCTCGGAACTCTGTCCAGAGCGCACCTCAGGAGAGGCCCCTCTTTCTGGCATGGCAGTGCTGCCCACATCGGGGAGGATTGGGTTCGCCGGGCCACTGGCTAAAGCACCCGCTGGTGGAGTCCCCGTTGAATGGGGCGCCGAGCCCAGAACCGGGCGACACCGCCCAGGACAGAGCGATGGCGGCGCCCGGCGCTCGGGGCCTCCCTGGCTCCTGGCTTCCCCAGCCAGGAGCATCGGGCCGGACGAAAGGGGGGGAGTGGGAAAGGGGGGGTTACGAAATCTGCTGCATGCAGCTGGCTTCGGCCTCGCCGCCGGGCCCATTCCTCGATACATGGCCGCCTCCTGGCGCCGGGAGGCGCCGGGAGAGTCAGCGATACGCGAGCTGATTCTGAACCCCCCCCTTTGCTATCCCCCCCTTTCGCCCGACCCGAGAGTAGCAGCAGCGGGGACAGTGGGGGCTCCTCCGGGTGCTCCTCGCGGCTGGCCCGAGGAGGAGCCGCCGGCAGCGGCGCGCGGCGGCGGGGCGGCGGGGCGAGGAGCGGCGAGCGGCGAGGGGGAAGGGAGGCGAGGAGCGAGGGGCGAGGAGCGTGGGGCGAGGTGCGAGGAGGGTCGAGGGGCGAGGGAGTGGGAGGAGGAGGAGGAGGAGGAGGAGGAGGAGGAGGAGGAGGAGGAGCAGCAGGAGGAGGAGGAGGAGGGGGAGGGGCGGGGAGCAATGCTCAGGAGCAGCAGGAGCGAGGAGGGGGAGGGAGGTAATGACCGAGGGGCTATGAGTAGAGGGAGGAGGAGGAGGAGGAAGAGGAGGAGGAGGAGGATCATCGACCACCTGTAAGGGGAAGGTTGGAGGAGGAGGTGGAGGAGGAGAGCGTCGTTTCTTCTCTTCCTCGTCCTCCTTGTCCTCCTCATTTCTGAAGCAGGGAGGAGGAGGAGGAGGAGGAGGAGGAGGAGGACGAGGAGGAGGACGAGGAGGAGGAGGAGGAGACGGCCGACGACAACTGCGTCGGCGAAGACGACGACGACGACGAAGACGAAGACCCGGAAAAGGACAACGGTCAAGAGGGAAGAGGGTGTGGAGGAGCGGTTCGCAAAAGGAGAAGCATCAGCAGTAGCCGTTGCGGGAGCAGGGGTCGTAACAGAAACAGGAATCACAGCACAGCATCGTTGCCAGCGATTGATTGTTGGCCCAGCGCCAGTTGGGTTGAGTTGCGAACGCATGCGCGCCGTGACTGCAGAGCCGAAGCCGCCTAACAGCCTCTCGAACCATAGTGCAATCCCAAGGGCCACGGGATGAGTTTCGAATGGAAGCCATTGACCAGCCCTCGCATTCGAAGTACGTTGCGACTGGTGAGTCCCCACCGTGGCAACGACGTCACCACGGCGAGGAACGAGAAAAGACAGCGAAGCCCAAACGCTCGCTCCTCAATGTTTGCATCCACTGCTTCGAGCGTTGGTGGCTCGAGGACTCTGACAATTTGGACACAGTTGTTCTGAGACCTGGTGTCCCGCCCGGGCTTCCGCTTCAGAATTTGCATGGCAATGGGGTGTTTGCGTGCAGCGTTGTTCTTCTTGCTCTGCGCCGCCCACTTGCAGCTCGCAAGCGGCCAGGGCAAGGTCAAATACAGCAAGAAGGTTCTTGAGCCGGTCAGCTGCGGGAAGAAAGAGAAGGTCAAGCGCGGAGACAGGGTTACCATCCAGATGTCCGCGACCGCGAACACGGACACGGACAGCTACAGCTCGGAGGGCGCTCCCCGCTGCGGCATGAAACAGCAACAAAATGCAAGAGCAGAGAGGAGTTTGTGGTCGTCCGGCAACGGCATCGGGCCGATCAACAAGGGGGTCGTCGGCATGTGCGTGGGCCGGGGTCCCGCCCCCCCCCCCCCCCCCCCCCCTCCGCATCAGCGCAGTGCCCACGTGGTGATCGAGCAGGTTGAGGGGACAGTTTTCACCCACACCACCATACGTATTAAGGTGGAGGTGGGAGGGGAGTCCTTCAGTCCCCCCGCCCCCTCTCCCCCCCCTCCGCCCTCCTCTCCTCCTACCCCTCCATTCTCCCTCCACTATCCTCCCTCCTCCTTTCTCCCTTCCTCCTTCACTCTCCTCCTCCTTCCTCCTCTCCTCCTCTAACCTCCTCCTCCCCCCCCTCCCCTCCTCCCCTTCTCATCCTCCGCCTTCCGCCTCCCCTCCCTCATCCTCCCCTCCTCCTCCTCCTCCTCCTCCTCCTACCTCCTCCTCCTCCTCCCCCTCCATCTTCTTCCCCCTCCCAACTTGTTGTGGTGGACAACGGGCCCAGCGAGAGGAGCCAAGGCGCGGAGTCAGGACCCGATCAACTCGCCGTGAAGCCCTGCGCAACGACAACGAAAAGGGTTTCTAAGGGGCGATCCTTGTAGATCGACCTGGGCCGTCTTGAGAGGGTGCGAGGCATGCCGGTCGGGCCATCGACGTAGGACGCTCCTCATCCTCCCCTCCTCCTCCTCTCATCCCTCTCCTCTCCTCTACTCCTACTTCTACTCCTCCCTCTCCTCCTCATCCTCCTCCTCCTCCTCCTCCTCCTCTTCCTCCTCCTCCTCCTCCTCCTCCCCCTCCTCCTGAGCGTTCCGGAACGCTCCCAGAGCGTCCCGGAACGCTCTGAGAAGGCCGCGGCGCCCGAGGCATCCTCAAGAGCTGCCGATCTATACCCTCACCCGGGTTTCTCCTCGTCCTGGCCTCGTCTCATGGGCCCGCGGCCCGAGGGCGCACGGGCACGGGACTCGCCGGCGCCCGGCAGCACGGTCGGCTTCGCGCCCCAGCGGGCGCAGATCAGGTGGGAAAAGAAGCACAGACACAATGAATCGTCGACTCCCAGGAAAGTACGGAAAAATATGGGAAGTGGGGGGGAAGTCGAAAGCCCCGAAAGTATTGAAAAACGTAGGGAATCTTGGGACTTGTATTTTGCGTGTGTCCTTGGGCCCCTTCAGCAGAGGCGCAGGGAGGCCGGGCTCCCGCGCGCGCGGCCAGAGCTCCATTCTGGGGGGCACTGGCCTGGTGGTGCCTCGGCAGGGAGGGGGGCGGGGAGGTATCGACGTGAAGGAAGCTCAGGAGCGAGAGATGGATTTGCACAGTCGAACCGCGCACGGAAACGCGCATCGCCTTTCGGTCGGAACGAGCATCGAAATATAAGGTCGTCAGCCCCACCCCCGATCATTCCTACCACACGAAGGGCTGTCTACGACCTGCCACGCCCCACCGTGCCGTGCCAAAGGGGCACAGAGGCGGGCATCACTGCCTCCCTGCGGCAAGCCCCGCCGCAGTGCCAGCGCAGCAGCCCAGCAAGGGTAAGCTTGAATTGAAGACCCGTTCCAGTTCAGGAGCAAAAGAGGGACGTACATGCACACGCACCCGCATGGTTTCGAAAGCGCGCATTGCGCGGCGAAGCGCGCATTGCGCGTGCGCTAGCCGCCAACCACATTGCGCGAGCGCTCGTTACACGAGGCTGGTATCGCGGACTGGGGGGCCGTATTCAACTACGCGGTTGGGCGCGTGCGTCCTTCGTGGGCTCGATCGAAAATGACACGATTCTGAAGTGTCCACGGTCCGCGTGGATTATTTGATCCGCGCTGGGCCCCTCTTGGCGGCGCCGCCAGCGCCTCCCCTCGCGTGTTCCGCACGCCAGACGGGGGGGCTCCAGCGCCGAGCCAAGAAGTCCGAGCGGACCTTCAAAAGATGATGCTTATTGCGACGAACGAACAACATCGGAGGTGGATAGACCTCCTACCCTGACACGTCGATTAAGGAATTGGCCGTTTTCGGTTCGCGAGAGGGCGTCGTGGTCGTCATTGTTGCTGGTCCAGGTCCGTCGGTTTCGGTCCCAGGCCGTTTTCACTAAGGGGAGGTTAACTGAAGGGAGGTTTGTCCACCGCCGACAACACACACCAATACCCATAGGGGGATCGTTGGGATGAGGACTGGCTATGGGTATGGGTGCGGGTTGTCGGACCCTGGGGAGCACTCCCGTTCGAGCGGGGAACCCCATCCGACAACACGCACCCATAGCCCTTTCCGTCCCCCCTATGGGCATGGGTGTGTGTTGCTGGTTCGTCATATTGGGGCTGTTTTGGCTCTCCTAGGATAAGACGGAAATGCACAACTCTCTCCCGCGACATACAGCCATGGCTCGTTGGCGCAGCTGCTGGCGGTGCGACGAATTACGCGGCCAGGTGAATGTCTGCCAGGAGAGGTAAACATGTCTTGTCTCTGAGATGGGAGTGCGGAGTCTCGCCGCCGACTAATGAGACACCGTTAAAGTCGGACCGAGGTGTAAGGTCGAGGCCGGTTCGGGGAGGGTACCCTAATGTTTCTCGTGTTTGTTGGATCTTCTTGCGCACCTTGGGGAGGATGCCCTTGGATGTTCCGAGCGTCTGGGCCGACGGAGGGTCTCATGTTCTTGAAGCACGGTCTGCTGGCCCAGGTCCGCCTGTACCCAGCCCCCCCCGCAATTGCGGAGCAGAGTGAGGGGGCGGGCGGGCCAGCTCGGCGTTCCTGTCAAGCAGTGGCGAAGCGTCCCGGCGTGCCCATAGGCCCACCAGTCAATGTTTTGAGAACCTTTTTGTGGTTTCCACGGAATGTATTTAGAACCTATCTGGCTGGGACTTTCTTGCTTTATCACATCGGGCTCATGTTCTAAGAACAGTGTTTTTGTTATTAGACCATGTTTGGGTTCTAAGACCATGTCGTGGCAGGCCTAAAGGAATGCCCGGACGGTCGGTCCCTGCTCAATCATTGGGCCCCCCCCTCGGTGGTCGTCGACGTTGACCTCCCCGCCCTCGCCCATCTTCACGCCTCCCCGCCTGTCGCTGGCCCCCACCCGCTGTCTCCCGCCTCCCGCCTCGCCTCTCTCTCGCTCCTCCTTGAGGTCCTCGTTGTCCTTCCTCCTCGTCCTCAGCCTCCTCCCCTCCCTTTTCCTCTTCGCCTGCCCCTTCCTATCATGGTCCCCATCTTCCTCCTCCTCCTCCTCCTCCTCCTCCTCCTCTTTCTCCGTCTCCTTCTCATCGTGCTCCTCGTCTTCCTCATCCTCTTCCTAATGCTTCTCCGCCTAGTTATTCCTCCTCCTAGTATTCCTTCCCACTGTCTTCCTCCTCCTCCTCCTCCTCAGCGCGCGCGCGCTGCGCTGGGCGGGGTGGCGGCGGCGGCAACGACGATGCTGGGACCCGCCTCACCTCTGCCCACAGCAACAGCAAGCAGACTCCCCCCGCCGGGATGCCACCTCAGCAACGCACCCTGGGACGGCGTAAGACATTTTAGCCCCCGCACCTTCACAAGTCGTGCTCCGTCCACGCTACATACCCTTTCCCAGAATTCGTATATTTTGTCAGGCCAGGTCTTCTCATGGCAAGCTGCTCGTATCCAACACCGTCTCCACAGCACTGACTCAACCCGCGCGTCGATCGATTAAGCCACATTGGCAAAGCATGGCACCATCGATCCAGGCTGGCCAAAGAGGCGTATCGGCTGCTTTGTTCCCAGGGTCTGCCTGGCAAGGTGTTGTGCCGGCGTGCTTGTGGCTCTCGTGGAGGGGGTTTTGGTTGGTTTGTTGTTGTTGATTGGTCTGCTCGCTTGGTGAGGTTTCTCCTTGCAGTCCCTCGTTACCACCGGTGGATTCGCCTCGACGTGATCATCACGACCGCGAGGGACCCTTCATGAGTGCGCACATTCGGGCCAAGCACAGACACAGACAGACCCGTCAGGTCGCATACGTGTTTTGATGCCCAGTCTTCACAGCCGTATGAGCAGTGCAGTCTCGATTCGTCAATCGTCATACTGGTGCCTCCATCTGGGCATCGATCCCCATGTTCGCACAGCACAGCGATTCACAGAGATTGAGCCGCGCAAAGTTATTATTGAAGAGTATTGATCTTATTGACGCGAGTTGGTCGAGTTCGAGTTGGTCGCGAGAGTTCGCGCAATATCCCCATGTTGATGGAACTGCATCCTGGTTTCGGCGCGAGGTGGATGAAACGGAGCGTTGCTGTCCGTTGTGCGTTGAATGGTTCTGTCTTGAGATTTGAGACATCTGGACTTCTTGCTTCTGATGGTGAGGGAATGGTTGTGTGGCGTGCCCGCTTTGATGCAACATTAGCCAGGTCCATCCTCGGATGCAAGAGATCCGCCTTGGCTACAACAGGAGGGGAAATGCTGCTTCAGCAGCAGTGGTTGGGGATTGGGACCAGCAGACTTTCGTTCCACGGGATTGCCGGGCGATTCTTCGTGAATTGTCTACCTACTCATGCGATGCCGGTGTACCATTTTGCCATCGTGTGCAGTATACGTGCCCCGTTGTCGATTAGCCGTTGTCTTGAGTATGTTCGTACGATGCATCAGCAGGTGCCGTGAGTCCATCTGACAAGCGTTGCCAATTAGACAGTTCTCGAAGTCACTGATTGGATTGGTCGTGAGATACATGTCGTAAGGGATTTTGAGGGCGATCGGCTCTCCCTCGTGTTGCTCCAACTGCCTTCCTCGCTATCCTCTCCCCCGTACCCTTTCCTTTCTCCGTCCGTTCCCCCCTCCCTCCATTCCCTTCTTCCTGACTCGGTGGATTCGCATTTCCGTGACCCTGGTCCTGAGGAGGGGACCTCGGCACACGTGTCGCCTTTCCAGTTTGCGAAGAGTTTTTTTCATCTTTGCCAAAAACAGTTGACGATGCTCCCGACGTATTCAAATGTCAATTGCTAGCCCAGCTGTCTTGCAGTGTCGCTTCACATCTTCCCACGTTCGGGCTAGGAATGCGTCTCAAGAGTGTGTCGTACTACATGTCTTCCCCCTGCACCCACCTCTCCCCTGCCCCGTCCGCGCCTCTTTGTGAAAAGGGCTCGTTCGCGTGAGCAGTACAGTCGAGGCTGCTTAGTAGGTCGACTCTGCCAGATCAAGGGTGCCCTTGTGTCCTGTGCCTCACGACCCATGCTTTTGGATTCATATGGCCACGTGGCCCTCGCAAGAGTCTAGTGTCCCCTCGCGTGCCCTCTTCAATCCATCCCGTCTGTACTGCGAAGGCCTTACGGCCCGTGCCGCCGATCCCCTCGCTAGGACGAGGAAGCGGAGGGGGGGAAGGAGGATGGCGGGGGGCCGCGGCCCGGGGCAGGACAGCATATGATGTGACCGGAGGCCCGGGCTCTTCGAGCCCTCTGCCCCCTCCACCGCTGGAAGCGGTGCGGAGGGTGACTGATGAGCGGGTCCGCAGGTGGTCGCGAGGCACTCGCCCAGCTTGTGAGCGCGGGGAAGAAAAGCCCGGCGAAGAACCCAACCATATGTAGTTGTGAATACCGCAATGATGGGTATCGTATTCGGTGGAGCTCCCTATGGGGCCACGAAGCGTTGCACTGGGTGGGGGGGACGCATGCGAAGTTTGCCACTGGGGCCTCCGGTGGAGCTTCCTATGGGCCATGAAACGCTGTGCTGGGTGGGGGAGACGCATGCGGAGTTTGCCATAGGGGCCTTCGGTGGAGCTCCCCATGGGCCCCGAAACGTTGTGCTGGGTGGGGGAGACGCATGCGGAGTTTGCCACTCGGGCCTTCGGTGGAGTTCCCTATGGGCCACGAAACGTTGTGCTGGGTGGGGGGGGACGCATGCAGACTTTGCCACTGGGGCCTTCTGTGGAGCTCTCTATGGGCCACGAAACGTTGTGCTGGGTAGGGGAAACGCATGTGGACTTTGCCAGTGGGGCCTTCGGTGGAGCTCCCTATCTGGCCACGGATCGGTGGGGCTCCCTGTGGGGCCACGATGCGGGACGCATGCGGGCGGGACGCATGCGGGCGGGACGCTGTATTGGGTGTGCGGGACGTCTTCGGTGAGGCTCCCTTTGGGGCCACGAAGCGCTGTATTGAGTGTGCGGGACGCATGAGGGTGGTGGGGCTCCCCATGGGGCCACGAAGCGTTGTACTGAGTGGGGGCGACGCATGCGGACGGTTCCACAGGGACCTTCGGTGGGGCTCCTTGTGGGGCCGCGAAACACTGTACTGGGCGTGCGGGGCGCATGCGGGCGGTCCCACTGGGATCTTCGGTGGGGCTCCCGATGGGGCCATGAAACGCTGTACTGGGTGTTGCGCGACGCACGCGGGCGGTCCAATTGGGGCCTTCGGTGGAGCTTTCTGTGGGCCCACGAAGCGCTGTACAGGGTGGTGCGTGACGCATGCGGGCGGTCCCACTGGGGCCGTCGGTGGGGCTTCCCATGGGACCACGAAGCGCTGAGCTGGGTGGTGCGTGACGCATGTGGGCGGTGCTACTGGGGCCGTCTGTGGAGCTCCCTATGGGCCACGAAACGCTGTACTGGGTGGTGCCTGACGCATGCGGGCGGTCCCACTGGGACCGCCGGTGGAGCTCCCTATAGGGCCCACGAAACGCTGTATTAAGTGGTGCGTGACGCACGCGGACGGTCCCACTGGGGTCGTCCGTGGAGCCCCCTATGGGCCACGAAACGTTGTATCGGGTGGTGCGTGACGCACGCGGGCGGTCCCAGTGGGGCGCCGCCGGTGGAGCTCTCACTGGGGCCACGAAACAATGTTTTGGGTGGTGCGTGACGCATGCGGGCGGTCCCATTGGGGCCTTCGGTGGAGCTCCATATAGGACCACGAAACGCTGTAGTGGGTGGTGCGTAACACGCGGGCGGTCCCATATGAGCCGTCGGTGGAGCTCCCTATGGGGCCACGAAGCGCTGTATTGGGTGGTGCCTGACGTATGCGGGCGGTGCCACTTGGGCCGGCTGTGGAGCTCCCTACGGGGACACGAAGCGCTGTATTGGGTGGTGCGTGACGCATGCGGGCGATCCCACTGGGGCCGTCGGTGGAGTTCCCGATGGGGCCATGAAACGCTGTACTGGGTGTTGCGTGACGCATGCGGGCGGTCCCACTGGGGCCTTCGGTGGAGCCCCCTATGGGCCCACGAAGCGCTCTACTGGGTGGTGCGTGACGCATGCGGGCGGTCCCACTGGGGCCGTTTGTGCAGCTCCCTATGGGACCCCGAAGCGCTGTACTGGGTGGTGCGTGACGCATGCGGGCGGTCTCATCTGGGCCTTCGGTGGAGCTCCCTTTGGGACCACGAAGCGTATGAGGGATGTGTTGAAATTGATGTCGATGATGGTGGCGATGATGAGGACGATGATGATGGCGATGAGTGTGATGACGAGGACGATGATGATGATTCTGATGATGATGATGATGCTGATGATGATGATGATGATGATGAATGGTGATGATGATGGTGGGAGGAGGGAGGAGGGGGAGGAGGAGAGTAGTAACGCCGGGCGCTGTCTTTCGCGTCGACGGTCGGCGACGCGTGAGAGTGGCCTTCCGCTCGTGTGGGTCTCGTGGCAGGCCACACAGATGTCCTCCCAGCATTGGTTTGCGTGCTTGGATGTTGCACGCCCCGCCCCCCGCGGGGCCCCCCGTGATGCCCGCGACACCTCCCCGTGACCCGAACCCCGCGGTGCCCCCATGACCCCTGTGACCCCTCCCCCTTGCATGGAACCCTCGTGGCTCCCGTGACCCCTGCCTCCCCGGCAGGACCCCCGTGACCCCTTCCCCGCGGGCCCCCCCGTGACCCCCGTGCCCCCTCCCTTGCGGGACCCCCGTGCCCCCTCCCTTGCGGGGCCCCCGTGGCCTTTGTGACCCCTCCCCCGCGGACCCCCCCGTGACCCCTCCCCCGCAGGCCCCCCGG